ACTTAGAAACCTTAAAGAACACAGATAAAGACCAGTCACATATTTGTGATTAAAAACATCAGACATCAACCGATATTAGTGAAAAACCAGATACAAGCTCAAAGACGTGTTCAATATGATGAACAAGAAAGTGAAATAAACTACTTATAGACTTCATTACACACATATCACATGTATCCTTACATAAAGTTCAAAACAAAAATGAGCTATGTATGACAAAAACATAAGATAAAAAGGTTACTTTTTGTTAATAGATTAGATTACCTCGTCTAATCCAACATCAACAGACAACTCCTCAACCTGATCAACATCGCTGAAACCCAAATTACATAGCACCTTCACCAGAGAAATCGGATTTCCAGGTAGCACCTGCAGATCATCTGTAATCACACACATGGTCCTTCTTTTAACAAAACATTCTGGATCCGAGGGTTGAGACCCTTCAGACATCTCTCTGTCGGCTATGCCTCCACAAGTACACTTCGTGTTAGGATAATGACTCTTCCTCCCACTGCAATAATACTTATTACTACAATAAAAACATTTCCCATTGCTTGTATCATCAATATTAAGTTTAAGATTCTTGCAAACAAGAGCAATGGGGTTTCTTGGGCTTAACAGTATTGATTGACAAGCCTTTGTGCAGAAATTGTCCGCACTAAGCTGTTCAATGCTTTGGTACAAGTTGTTCATGCAGCCAATGGAACCGGGATGGTTTTTCGTGACACGAACAACAGTTCCCAGTGGAAGTGTGAGGAAACTGAGCAAAACATTGACGAAATCACTAGTGGCTTCCGCCGCGAGGACTCGGGTTTTCTTCTTGTCCACCAGAAGTTTTAGTGGGATTGTGGGCTTGATGTTTTTCTCTTCAGGCGACATAATATGATGCTGTAACAGACTGAACTTAATCAAGGTAAGAAATATAACTGTTTAGCTCTCAAACCCCCGTCTGGAGCTCATTTTAAAGAGTTTTTTTTTTTTTTGCAAAATCTCATCAATCTACAGTAAAAAACAAATAAAAAATGCAAAAATTAAACATGCTTTGTTAGACTTTAATTTGCCTTTGTTGGACCGTTGAAAATTAGTTGGACGCATTTGCCCTCACCTAGTCACGTCATTGACACCATTACCTATTAGCCCCCTTTTTTATGCGGGAAGAATGCATTTTAAATATTGGTGTGATAAAAAAATATGAGTTTAAAAAAAGAAAAAATAAATAAATTTACATATAATATTATTTTATTGAAAATTATATGATTAAAAATGAGTATTGAAATAATGTAACTTTTTAAAAATGTGGATCAAATCGGCATTAACAAGGACAATTTTTAAAAATGAGGTGAATTTATGTAAAACACTTCATAGAAAAGCAAAAAATATAGTTGTCTAAGTGCTTGTTTGGTAGGAATTTTTTGGGGAAGAATTGATTTTGAACAGTAATATGATAGGAAATGTATAGTTGAAGAAGAAGAAAAAATTATTAATGTGATGAAAAATATTATTTTATTGAAGAATGTGTTGTTGAAAATGAAAATTAATTTGAGAATCAATTCTCAAATAAAAAATAAACACCCCCTAAATATCATTTGTTTATTCTATGATGTCGGACATGGTTCAGATAATTTATTGTACCCATTATTTATTGTTGGGAGTAATTATCAATTTAGCCATCCATTCATTTTCTATAAATTATTCACATGAAGTAACAACAGGGTAAAATGGACTTTTGCTTTTGTGAGTCTTGCTACTTTATGGAAATTTGCACAATCGCAACAGCTTTATCTCTTTGCAAGTGGGCCCATTGAGTTGACGGAAAATCAATTTCCTTAGGTATTAGCAAAGTGGAATCTGTAAAAGACAATGAATAATGGTGCACATTTCTTCAAGGACTAGGTGAAATCTCTAAAATAAACTAGGTGACTGTTTGGTGGAAATTTTGGTATCATTTTTAGAAGAAATTGGATCGTTTTGCAGTGAATTCACCGCCCATTTCAACAAGTTTTGACATGGAAACAGACTGCAGCCTGAAACGAAAAAAATTCTTGCTTTTAATTTATAATAATATCCACTTTTCAAATCTACCCTCACTGAACCTACTCACTCTCCAATTCTACCCTCACTGAACCTACTTGGAAAGACGTATCTTATCCTACATAAATAAAAGAGTCACTTTTTTTACTGTTCATAAGTCGAGTCGAGTCGAGTCGAACCGAGCCCAGCCAAATGGCTTGATGGCTCGGCAAAGCCTTTTTTTTTTTACATTTAATTCAGTATTTTAAGTTACAAATATTCGTTTTAAGTGATTTAAAATTTGTTGAAAATGTTGAAGTGCGACCTTAATAAATATATGATCGATAAATTT